TATACAGGATATAAAACTATGGCCTTTAAATTTTATGGGCAGAAGTCCCTATTATGCTTCAATATGGCAATGCTACAAACTGCATTCCAATAAATTTAAGAATATAGGAGGTGTTAGCTTGTGCATATCAGTAATAGTATTTTTACAATTTTAAAATAACTGTTAAAGGCAAGTAGAACATTGTGATGAGTTTTACAGTATAAGCTGTTATTTATCCCTAGAAAATACTTAGATTTTAAGTCAGCTTCTTTTTAAAGAAGTACTCAATTTCTTATTGACACTAAATTAAATTTTTCAGTAGATTTTGCAGCACTGATATAATCACTTTCAAACTATGATGAAGTTTGTAACTACAAAAAAAAAAATCCCTCTCATTTTCCACTGTCTGTCTTCGACTACTGCTACTTAAATGATCAGCTGTTTCATAGTTACGTCCATAAACTTTGGTCTACAAGAAACATGTTACTTAACACAGTACAAGATCAAAAAATTAAATCAATGCCTTTATGTTTATCCTTTTCCAAGGCCACACACTTTATAGCTTCAAATCTTATAGCCTATCACTAAACATGTACTTTCAGTGTTCAATGCCATAAAAATCACAACATGTAAATGATTATTCATGCAAGAGCTACTTAAATTTAAATGAAATCACAACCAGAGAAGAATGGTTAAGCTATCTATTGGTTTCACAGACAGGTAGCCGATTTCTCCCCCCCCGAGTTTATCACTGCAACCTTCTTCAAGGCTTTTTTGTATTTTTTTTTTTTTTTAAGTACACATTTGTAGAACATCAATCAAGGCAGAACACCTTCTGTACTACCATAGCGTTTGCTTGCCTCCAACAGAAAACAAGCCGAGTTAGTTTGCTGTTAGTTTTAACAACAGCCTTGTTGCTTTGCGTTGAAAATCCTGAATACGAAACTGTTCTTTTTGCTCCATGTTTCTTTTCCCATGAGCTATGTTTCACTTGTATTAGGATTCTGGATCAAAATCCTTTGTTTCATTACCCTGAAGAACATTCTATTAGGAACTAGGTATAAACAATCAGAGGAGATATACAAGGTCAACTAAATTCTCCCCCTCACTTCCCACTTTAGTGAGAGTTTGGGCAGGCCCTAGTTTATAAGGAATGGTATAGATTCACTACAAATGAAGGCATTTTATCTTAAGAAATTACTCCATAGTCATGCTTATTTAGCACATCTTCACCATAGAGCCAACAAATAGACTGTTGCTTATTTCAAAAGGACAATTAGTTCCCAATGGTATCAGAAATAATTTTATAGAATAAGCTTAATGCTTTATCAGCCTTTTGAAAATGTGCCTCTCGTTACTGACTACAAAAAATAAGTACTAGAAGTATTGGTCTAGAAAAAACAAAGTGGCAAAATGGGTATCGAACCAATAGAACCACAACAAGTTGACATTTCCAGACAATCTTCTGTCACAGTAATGGGATGCAATACTGGACAACAGCCACACAATCCTTCAAAAGCAAATTCTGCCACATACACATGTAAGAAAGCCCTATAGCCAACTTGTTACTAGCCATCCTTGTTAAAGATTGGGTGGGGGCCTTTTTTATTTAATTGGAAAAAAAAACACCAAAAACCAAATCCAAACAAAAAACCCCAAAACACTAGTAGCACAGATTTCTAGAGTAACATACAGTGGAAAGGATTTTTGGAGGTCATTAGCTGAAACCTCATTAAAATTTGGCCCAATTAGATCAAGTTCTCCAGTATGCTGTTCAGTTTTCAGCTCCTTCACGGATGGAGATACCAAAACTCTTTCCGAGCAGCCCATTCCCAATGTTTGATCATCCCCATGGTGGAGTTCCGCCCGCCCCCAACCTAGCTAGAATTACTCTTGCCACAACTTCTTCGTTGTCCCTTCTCCTCTTGCTGAGCACCTCCAAAAATGCATGGCTCGGTCTTTTCTAAACTCCTTCTTCCGATTTGGTGGTTGAATTAATAAGATTTCCTCTTAACCCTCTCTTCTTATGACTGAACAAACTCAGTTCTCTCACTCTCCTCATACATAATGTCATCTGGCTCTCTGGCCATTACAGTGCCCTCCATTGGACTCACTCTACTTTGTCACTACCTTTCTTTTACTAAGGAATTCACTGGTCGCAGTACTTCCAGTATGGACTCACAAATGCTGTGCCAGTGTGGTCTCACAAAAGGAACAATTGCTTCCTTCAAACCGTTGGCTACATTGCTAATACAGCACACTATGTCGCCAGCTGCCTTTGTGGTTCTCTGTGGAGCTGCTTCCAGCCAGGTTACCCTCAGCTTCTGTTGTTGGTTATTCCATGTCATAGACTCCAGTATTAATCCCCACCAAGGTACACCACTAGCACATGGTCATCTACCAAACTTTGTACTGCTTATCACCATCCCTTGGCCCTGGAAGTCTATCTGACTGACCATTCACTTACCTGATTGATATCTCACGTTCTCGGCTATAAGAATACTACAGGAAACTATGTATCTACAAGCCAGCCATGTCATTATAGAAGGCAACTAGGCTACACAACCAACCATTGGCAAATCAAAACTTACTGTTCCCAGTTCCCTTTTTGTCCTTCCCATGCTTGGAAAGAGCTTCCAGAAGGATTTACTCTGTAACGTGCTCACAGTTTTCCAGACTCTCCTTCTTTCCCTTCTTGAAAATGGGTACGATGTTTGCCTTTTCCAGTCACTGAAGAACATCCCAATTGCAATGATTTCTCAAAGATGATAGAAACCAGCCTCACAATGACCTCAGCCAGCATCCCTGGATGCACACTATCTTGTCCCACTGACATGCAGTTATGCAACTGGCTTAACTACACCCCAGCTGTCATCATCTACTGTGGGTAATGCTTCACTCCCATAGAATTTATCATTAGGCTCAGGGGGCTGAGAACAAATCTTACCAGTGAAAAGAGGCACAAAAAAGGCACTAAGTACCTCAGCCTTTTCCTTGTCTTCTGTCACTAGTCCCTTGCCCATAGAGCAATGGGCCCACACTTTCTTCAGCTTTCCAATTGTTGCCTCTACCCTTCTTGATTTTTCCCACATCCCTCATGAGTTTTAACTCCAGCTGAGCTTTGGCCTTTCTAACTCCATACTAGCATACTCGGGCAACAACTCTGTATTTCTCGAGTAGCAATACCTGCTTTCACCTTCTTTGTATTTCTTTTTCGTGTTGGAAGGGCCCAGCACTTCCTTGCAGGAGCTTAGCTGTCTGAACTTACAGGTAGCTCTCTGATATCACACAGTTGTTGATCCAGACTGTTGTGAAGAAAGAGCTGCTTAAGAAAGACCTGCAAGATGCCACCTCAGCAGGGGCTCCCTTCACATCACTCAGAGGCTGCTTTTAAGTTTAGGCTTTTAAGCAGCTGCCAGCCTGAGCTAGACTGCAGCCATGCCTGTGCTTGGGCACATACTCCAATTGATGCACCCCCTGACTCACAGACTACGTACTGGCTTGACCTCAGATGTGTCTTGTCTCTATTGACTTGCCTGGTGTCACTAGACTGTTGGCTGAACCTGGTTACTGTTACCAGACATGGTTTGCTCTCCTTTTTCAGGTATTGAAGGACTGCTTCCACAGTGATGACAGCTCCTGTGTGTGCCTTGTCCCAGCTAGCCTTCCCTCACCTTCTCCTTGCTGCTCCCAGACACACCTGAGCCCAGTCAGGCATCCTGCCACACTTTCTCACAGAATTTTCAGAGTTGGAAGGGACCTCCAGAGATCATCTAGTCCAACTCCCCTGCTAAAGCAGGATTGCCCAGAGCACATTACTCAGGACTGCATCCAGGCAGGTTTTGAAAATCTCCAGAGAAGGAGACTCCACAACCTCCCTGGGCAGCCTGTGCCAGTGCTCTGTCACCCTAACTGTAAAGAAGTTTTTTCGTGTGTCGGAACGGAACTTCCTATGTTCCAACTTGCACCCATTGCCCCTCGTCCTGTCACTGGGAACCAACAATCAGTTTTCCACATGTCAAAATGAACCATTCTTGTGCTTTGAGAAGGTTATTCTTGAAGATCAACCAGCTCTCCACAGCTCCTTTGCAATTCAGACGAGTCTTCCATTCGATCCTACCAAGCAGTTCCCTGAACAAGACAAACATCTATTCTTCTGTAGTACAGGGTTCTAATCCTACTACTCATTTTCTCACTTCTTTCAGGAATTCAGTCTCCTGCCCTGAACCACACCCACAATCAGTTCTTCCTTGTTTGTGAGTAACAGGTCTAGCTAAGCACCTCCCCTAGGGAAAGCTTTTTATACTCTTGGGAAACATGCCTTCTAATTTCAAGTCAGTTTTATTTCAACCTCTTTCAGTTACGGCAAAATTTGGTTTTAGACGAGCTACAACAAAGAAGTTCACACTTCTTCTATAGGTACAGAGCCTTTCACCCACAAGTAATACCACAGCTACCTCATTTTGCAACTCCATCTTTTGGCATAGCACCCACATTTTACAACCCATTTGAAGAAGGACTTTTACTTACCTGTCAAAATATTCACGTACCCCTTTCATTGCATAAACACATACAAAATAATGCTCTTTAGCAGAGTACTAACATGGCGCCTGAATTGATACTTGCCTTCTGTTGGGTTTACGTTCCCCATGGGGTTTCTGTTACAAGACAAGGGCAGAAGGAAGTGCTGGATCATGTATTCACACCAATCTTTGGGTGTATCTCTAACAGCTGAATTGTACCAGTGTAAGTAATTTTCTCACTGTTCAACAGATATGACACCAAAGACAGTTTAGCTACTGCTAAATGCTGTATTCACACATACACACCAAGACTATTTCTTGGCCTTCACAGGACTTACGTGCTGACCTCAAGCGTTCTAGGTATTAAGCACCACTAGCGCTTATATTCAAATTTGTCTGTTGGTATCAACAGATGAAAAAAGTTGATACTATACTGTTCTCAAGTAAAGTAACTATATTTAAAAGCATATTATCAGAAAAAGGACTATGCAGTCTCACCTTGAAATGATTCGCAGGGTGTACCAGTTGATGTACTAGCATCTGATGATGATGTCTGAACATTATCCAAATTCTTTTCTTTAGATTTTGAGCCCAGATTTCTGAGAACCGCCTCCTCTTCTCTACTCGAAGTATGCGCAAGAGAAGATGAAGTTTCAGCATAGAGTCGTTTCAGTACTTTCCCTATGAACACTGTGGGGTAAGAAAACTTTTTTTAAACAGAAATAAATGCAGTGTTTTAAAGGTATTTCAAGACTTAAAAAAAAACCCAACTAATTTATACAAGATAGATTCCCTCATATCCCATGCAAGTCTGTCTCCAGTAGTCCCTACCTCTCACAGGTAAAGCTGAAAATAATACATTAAAGTCCTAAACTTGAGTTAGACAAGCAGCTTTAAAACCCAGAGTTCACTAGCAAGGCTACATTTAAAGTCTTCTATTTGACTACATTTTGGCAATAAACTAATACAGTACATTTACAGACTAAATACACATTCATTTTTGAGATTTCTTTTAAAACAAGTATTTTCCTACACAAGTTATAATGCTGCTCAAAATGCAGGTCTCTTCTGGCACAGAGGCATTGCAACTGAATCACTCATTAAAATCAGTAAGCTACAACTATTTAATCACATAGAAAAACTAGAAGTAGACAGCAGCAGAGACACATGGTAACCCAATTATTTCTACAGAATTAGCAGTATTCTTATACGCCTCTTCCTCTTATGGGCCCCTTTCTGACGACACTGGCAATCTGCTACTAGTTACTCAAATGCAAGCATCATTTGATTAAAGAGAAGAAATATATGCAAATCTACTCATCAACAAAACTATCATCTTTATATGGATGCATGCATATTTCAATCACTTGAAATTACATATTATATAAAAATACAAAGTAATATCAAGAACTTTTTTTATCTATTGCAAAACAACATCCCCAGTTTCATAAATTCTACACAGTCAAGCAGATACTGCAGGAAAAGGGGAGGAGGGAAA